TTCGAACATAATTTGTTACTGTTCGTATTCACATCAATTTTATGGTCTTCTTTGTTCTCTCCTATTTGTCTTCGTGGGCGTAATAGAATTTTCTAGATATCTGGCTGGACAGGTGTTGAATCATTCCTATTACACGTATTCCCTGTCAGTTGATTCGATGAATAAAGCTTCTGTTGTCAATCTCTCCCTCCACCCTGCTGTTACATTAGGCTTTGAAACTGTCACCATATACCATTATATTGCCTGGTTGTGTGTAATTGCATATAATGCTTGCTATAGCTGAACCAGTCTCTAGATTTATTATCTTATTCGGGCCAACTAATCAGGTGGGTAGTTACTTGGAGTTCTAGTGAGAAGTCGTGATCAGTAGGGTGCAGCACGTCGGGTGTGAGGACAAATACTCGCCGAAGACATTGGCTAGCGGTTTCGCTATATCGTGAATTGGCAGAAGTTAGAATTCATGGACTGGCCATTGGATTGGCGGGTCCCAGTGGCTTAATGGTATACGAGCTCGCCTTGTAGGCAGAAAGTCCTGTGTTCGAACCCTGGCGGTGAGCACGTACTAGTGAAGAGTCCTAAACTAGGACGAAACAGCTTTGGAGTACTCCCTGGTCGTTTTCCAATGGTTCTCTAACTGATGTCAGCTCATGATGAAATCCTGTAACTCATTCAGAAATAAATTTTTCATCTGCTTAAGGACTTAATAGATCCAGTTAAGAAAAGTAATATAATTTACTAAATACCATGTAATAACTATAAATGAAATCATTTACATAGGTCAGTCACACTAGTAGATCGGGGTCAGTTTAATTATCTGAACATAGAAATTTGACTAGATCTAGAATAATTAATCCTGCTAAGCTACATAATCTAGAAGAACCTCAGTCATCGCAATATATTCACTTGCATGTAATCAAACAATTAGATAAGGTTATCGAACTAAGAAGCTATATAGTTAATGGAGAGAGAGAATGGTTAACCACGTAATCTCTGTTCATCAAATCAGTCTCATATACGAATAATATGAATGATATAATAACCTTAGTAGGATGTATGGTGTTGTTAAAGTTCATAAGTCAGGATACCCTATTAGAACTATAGTTGATTTTAGAAATTCACCCACTTATGAATTATCTAAATATGTAGCGTTTATATACACTTAAACCAATAACTATGGCTATAGAGGCAGTCAGAAACGAACTCATTTCTGACCAAGAACTCGAACTTACAACGAAAGTGCCACTTGAGGACATAATGCTGGGAGTGCAGCTATGCCTGACTTCCACAGTATTTAAATTCCAAGGGAAAATAAACAAACAAACTGAGGGAGTTGCCATGGGATCACCAATATCCCCAGTTGTAGCAGATATATTCATGGATAGGTGGGAAAGCATAGCAACTGAAATGTTCACCCCCACCCCAGAAGTATGGTGGAGGTATGTAGATGACGCATTCACTGTACTTAGAATACAGGATATAGATAGGTTTCTCGAACACATTAACTCGAAGGTTGAAGCAATTCAATTCACTTATGAATTGGAAAATCAGGAAGGGGAGCTCCCAATGGTAGATTGCAACGTAAAAAGTGAAGAAGATGGGAACTTGAACACTATTGTTTACAGGAAACCCACACACTCAAATAGATATTTGCACTTCCGATCACCCCATCCTATGTCAGTAAAAATAGGATTGGTGTAATGTTTAAGTGACAGAGCACAAAAACTAAGTAGTACCAAGGAAAATCTAAGACAGGAAGTGAAGCATATAACAGAAGCCTCGAAACTTAATAATTACCTTGAGAAATTGGTCCAAAAGTATGTAGGAAAATGTAAAAATAAATTAATTAATGATATTAATAATGACGACAACACCAACAACAAGGAATATAAATCATCAGTAGTAATTCCATACAAGGAAGGAACCTCGGAAACCCTACACAGAATTCTTAAGAAGGCAGGAATAAAAGTCGCGGGCATTCAAACAGCCAACAAACTCAATTAGAAACAAACTTTGTCGGTTAAAGGATCCTGCGTGTGGAGCCTTTAAAACAAAACAATTTAGTTTATCTAATAACCTGCCTACAATTATTGTCAGGTCAAATACATAGGTCAAAGTAGTAGAACAGGGGCAGTCAGACTAGCCGACCATAAAAATCTCTCAAAATCTCGATTAGTTGACCCGGATAAGATAAGAAATCTAGAGAATAGTTCAGTCATAGCAGTGACTAAATGCAATTACACACAACCATGCAGTAGGATGGTACAAGATGACAGTTTTAAAATCTAATATCACAGATTGGAGGGAGAGATTGATCAAGGAAGCTTTATTCACCGAATCAACTGCAAACACGTGTAATAGGAATCATTCAACACTTGTCCCATACATCTGGAAAATTCTACTACTCCAACGACGACAAACTGGAGAGGACAAAGAAGACTATAAAACTCAGGTTTCAAAGTCGTGTGATTACAGTTGATATGATTATGAACAATAAATTTTGTTCGAAACGTCATCCAGTAAATAAGACTGTTTCACTGTGTGATATATCTAATAAACAAACTAATATGGAATTACTATACTACCACAATGCCCAAGTTTTACACCTATATTAATGGATGGTATAACACCAATCCCGAATAAGTATAAAAACTTGCACTATAAAAAATTGGAAGGGTTTAAAGTATGTGAAGCAAACTATGGGGTTATGTCAATACCTTGATAAGATTAGGAGTAATAAATTAGGGTACAAAAGTTATCCAGTTATTATTGCACTCTTTAATCATTGTGTATTGTATCGAATAAACTTAACAAATATGGAGTTATATTCTACCACACTGTATAAATTCTACACTTACATTAGGCACAGTGTTTTTGATTTGTGGATCGATAGCTTGTCTAAATCATGAAGCAGTTAGCTGCCTCATAAATAGCTTGACAGACAGTTAATGGATTCATTTGTCAAGAGTTAGTCTGTGAAGATTCGGTGTGTTCCAAGTTTGACCACAGATTGATATCAGTAAGAGGACATTTGCAAGCCAGGGAGAATTAGACAGCTGTTTTTTTCTAGTTTGGGACTAATCTGCAGTAAGCACTCAGGACATTTCGGTTACAAGTCGAGCTTGTAGACCATTCAGCCACTGCGACCGAGTTTAACCGCCCATGAATTGTCACTTCTACTAATTTTTGATTTTAGGACTGGTTAATAGCTACAGGACAAACTTGCCCGAAGCTCAGGAGAGTAGTCGTAACAAGTGTGGTTCATCACCAGGTCAGGAGTGAGGACGGATTCTCGCCGATAACGTTGGCTGATGATCGTGCTAAAATCACGAGTTGATAGAAGTCAAAATTCATGAAACTTTACATCGCTTTCCAGTGTCTGAGTAGTCTGCGAGCTTACAACATGGTTGGAGATAATGGGCAGTAAGCCCCACCTGACCTAGATTTCGTACTAGGTGCCACTCATCAGTCAGAATGGCATATCCGCAACCATCATGAAACTCATGTCCTTTCTGAGGTTTGAATCAGTCAAGTTCAAATCTCAGAAGGGATATGAGTTCCTTGATGATTTCACATGCGCCTTTCTGACTGGTGAGTGCCAACTAGCACGAAATCTAGATCCAAGGCTTCCTGTGGCCGATTATCTTCAACCCTCTTTTATCAACATTTCCAAGTCCACTGTGTGATTGTGGCCACATTGCAAAACTTGACTGATGGAATTCAGTCTGTACCAAACAAAAGACTAGACGCACACATTACACTAGTTACTGACTAGTGTCCAATCAAAATTTACGAGCTTGTCTTGTAACCCGAAGGGCTCAGGTTCGAAACCTCGTGGGCATTTATTGCTGAAGAGTCCTAAACTAGGACGAAAGAGCACGGTTCAATACTCCTTGGTTTTCAATGGTTCTCTGACTTATATCAATCTGTAGTCTAACAATGCATTTGTCTTTCTAACATCCTCGTTATTGGCCCATGTATGCATTCTTTGGTTTCTTTCGTAAATGTACCCTCCACTCTACTTATTTGTGTGTTATCGCTTAAGTAGCTGGCTGAGATACCAGGTAGCTGTTGTATACGTTGTTGGCATAGACAGGCGACATTTATGGTTACCACGTTAATAAAAGCTCGAGCAGCCCTGCAATTTAATCTAATGATTAGAAAAAATATAAAAGTTTCCTGTGTTACTTAATGTTTTATTTTCTATTTCTGTTTTACTTTTCAGCCATCAGTACGTACAGCGTTTCTTGATTTATGTATGAGAGTTACAACTGTATTATGCTGTCGTATGACACCGCTGCAAAAGGCATCTATAGTCAAATTAGTTCAAATTGGCTTGGCTAAATATACACGTCAGGGTGTTAAACCAGTGACAGCTGCTATCGGAGATGGTGGCAATGATGTGGCTATGATATTACAGGCTAATATTGGTGTTGGAGTTTATGGGAAAGAAGGTCGTGAAGCGGCAAGAGCCTCTGATTATGCAATTACCCAGTTCAGGTTAGTCATAACTATTATCGATTTGTTTTATTGATTCACTGTTGGGGGTTAAGACTATTTTGATCATTCTGAGTGGCACATTGTCTACTGTACTCAGTCCACGCTTTTCTTTGCAGTCAGTTCCACGAATATAAGAATAGAACCTGTGCACTGTTGTGGTAAAGTATAATTCCTTTGTGGGTAAAACTTATTTTGATAAAGTCTCACGGTGTTTTACAGTAATATTTATTATATTATGTAAACGAAGCAAGGAAGTTGTGTGAGTAGTGCCTTGAAATGATTATGAGCAGGAATAAATTGTGCTCGAAACGTCGTCATCAATAAATAATACTGTATCACAGTACTGTGAGACTTTATCAAAAAAAGTTTCACGAATGCCCACAAACTTTTATTTTCTCCTCACGTGATAAGTTATGGTGAGGGCAAAATGGATAGTCCATAAAGTTTGAATCTGTGTAGTTTAAAACAACTTTGCAAACTTAACACCACTTTGATAAAATTCGAAATGACCCGATCCGAGATTGAGCTCAATACCTTACTTAAGGGTATGGGGCAGACTGTGGGGAATGAGAAAGTGGCCAGTTGTTGAACTGAAAAAAATACTCTAGGCGTTCTGGACTTCGCGGATGATTTTTGTTTAATGTCGCACAAACTCAAAGATCTGCAGATACAAGGGAAAACCAACAAGTTGACAGAAGAGGCAGCAAGGACAAGACTTGCATAAATGAGCATAGAGAAGACTGAGGTGATGATGATATCTAACCAACAAAAGAGGGCACCAATCATTATCAAGGATGAAAATTTGAGGGAGGTCACTTCCTGTTACTTACCCGGCCAGGCAGCATCGTTTGAACTACAGGTGTGGTGAGAGCTGTCTGCCTGAGAAAAAACAAGAACAAGGACTAACTAAACAACCAATCACAGCAGACTTTGCGTGGGTGGATACGATTTGCAGATATATGGTCTGACCTTCAAAGAAATGGCCACAAACAGATGACAGAATAACTTCCAGTGAGAAAACAACCAATCAGAAGACGCTGTTTCTCTTCTAGCAATAACGAATATTAATGTACATAAAAATATATAAATATCTCTTGATTTCCTCAGTAAACGGTCCGTTGCCTAGCCCTTGTCTTCTGTCTTTACACAGGCAACGAGAATATGGATGTCAAAGCTAGTTGGGTTAGGAATAGCAGGATAGACTTTCAGTACTCTGAAATCAATTTGGAAATCTACAGCAATCAGCATAAAGAACGAAATTCCGATTTTCAACATAAATCTTAAGTTACTGATTCTATATGGATCGGAAACTTGGAGCATCACCACCAAAGACTGGATCCATAATGAAAATCAGATGGCTTGTTAGAAAGGATTACTGACAACGAACTTTAGCAGCGAACGAACCAAGAATCTTTCCTTCAGTAAATATGTCGACAGGAATGGAGATGGATTGGAAACACACTGAAGGAACCATTGAATGTCATCACGCGACAAGCGCTTAAGTGGAAGCTGAGTCGAAATGGAGTTCGGCATTGGAGGATGATATGGAGGAGTTCCTTTAAAGAGAAGATAATAACTCACAGAAAGCTGTAGGGCCAGCTGACGAGGATTATAGGTAGCAGGGTGAAGTAGAGATGTGCTGTTGGAGCCAGATATTCCACTCAGAGCGCACGGAGATAGTTATAATATTGGTTTGGTCACGTGTGCCTGCTACTGAAAAGACTCACACTGAAACGAAGCGACTGTCAGTGCCTCTTTAAATGATGTTGATTCGTGATGAATCTAGTCAAATGAATCCCTACACGCAAACACTTACAACATCCTTAGTTGTCAACAATTAATGATATAAGTATAAAACTTGGGTACTGTGGTAGAGCATAACTCCATAATGGATAAGATTTTATTTTGATAAATCACACAGTGTTCGTTGTACAGTGATATTAACTGATGACGTTTCGAGCACAAACTATCGCTCATAATCATATCAAGTTACTCACACAACTTCTTTCCTGCATTTATATACATGTGTGGAATCGATTAGATATTGGAAAAAAATTCAATATGGGATAATGTACATTCACAAATAAGAATATGAGTGTTATTGATCAATTACAATCAGATGGGAAATAAGACGAGTGTTTTCATAGTCATAATAAGTAACTTGTTAGAATGTTGTGATGTGCTTGAACTGAAATAGAATTTTGAGATTATTTTTTATCCTCTTCTGATTTGACTGGCGGTAATAATATCTTCCATACATATCTCTGGTATTTGCGTTGAGTCATTTCTGTTGCATGTGTTGGGTGTAGACTCAATGAATAAGGATTCATTATTACTAAGCAATAATAACTGAATCATATAGTTGATTCAGTTTTACAGAACTAACTAACTGGGGTTGATTATACAGACAGGATCATAAATCCGAGCTACTGATAGTTATTATTAGGCTAGAAAGAAATTGTCACTAACGTTGAATAGTGTAAATCTACTATCAACCTATAGCTTCACTCGATTTATTAGCCGGTCCTAAGAACTTCTGTGACGGGTTGAGCATCCCAAAGTGTGGGAAAAAAGATGAAAATTAGTGGCCAATGGTGGAGACATCCAAAAAAGACATCAGAGGGCAGCGTGAAACAGCAATGTGTTACTGAAGCTTTATGTTTCAACCGGAACCCAAGGGAATAATAATGTGATATATACCTATATATATATATATATATATATATATATATATATATATATATATTCAATCTGTGACAAAAGTTATCTTGAGAAAATTGAAGTGGTCAACACGCTCTACCACTTCACTCCCTATTTCTAAGCTAGGAGTCAATGTAGTCCAGTCATGTAGTATCACCTTACATTTGGTGGGAGCAAATCGCATGCTCAAGATGTTCGGAAGACTCTGCATTTTGTCATCGTCTTCACCTAGGAGACAGGAATATATCGTCTGCATATTCTAAGTCAACGAGATTATTCCCTAGTGGTGACAAGTCAGTCCCTGAGTGGCTGAAGTCATTTAGGGTTAAGTCCATTAGTACACCTGTGACGAAATTGAATAGAAATGGGGATATTGGGACTATTACTATTACTAATTCTGTAGAATGGGTGTACTTTGTAAATTCCCATTGATATAGGGGTGCATGAGACACCTTAGCTTTGACTGACAGTGTTAAATAATGCCTAAATTCTTTTAGGGCGAAACAATCACAAACATTGTAGCATAAGGGAATTCATTTAGTCTCGTGTGCTTGGTTGCTTCTTCCATACGTATTAAGTTCAAAATTGGTGTATAGCTTGATCATTTAAAATGACATCGTCGTGGCTTGTGCGGTATGCCAAGTTGGGTGTGAGGACAAATACTATCCAGCAATACTGACTGGCGGTGGCACTAAAAATAGTGAATCGACAGGAGTTAGACGTCATTAGGCGTTGGATTTCATCCCAGTGGCTGAATGCTCAACAAGCTTATTGATATAAGGATAAAAACTTGGGGATTGTGGTAGAGTATTGTAACAACAGAAGACAAGGGACAGGCAACAGATCGTTTATTAAAGAAATCAACACATATTTATAGATTTTCATGTACCTATTATAGATTATTGTTAGCAGAAAAACACAGTCTTCTGACTGGTTGTTTCTCACTGACAGTTAGTGCAGCAGGTTGGGTGTGAGGACGAATACTCGCCGAAGACATTGGCTAGGGGTCGCGGTATGTCGTGAATTGGCAGAAGTTAGAATTCATGGACCATTGGATCGGGTCCCTGTGGCTTAATGGGATACGAGCCGGCTGATCTTGTAACCAGAATGCCCTGGGTTCGAACCCTGGTGGTGGGTGCGTACTGATGAAGAGTCCCGAACTAGGACGAAACAGACGTCCAGTACTCCCTTGTTGGTTTTCCAATGGTTCTCTAACTAATGTCAGCTCATGATGAAAATCCTGTAACCAATCAAATCCCCACAAACCAGCACTAGAAAGTTAATCTTTCATCTCTTTGTGGCTGTTTCTTGAATGTCAGATCATCTATGTGCTAACTATATCCGCCTACGCAAAGTCTTTGTTCCTATTTTTCTCACGACCAATATTTGGGACATAAACCTTGACGTAAATTACTGTCTACCAATTTGGCTAGCAGCCAGCTCTCACCACAGTATAACTCCATTATGGATGAAATTTTTATTTTGATAGAGTCACACAATGTTATACAGTAGTATTTACTGATGACGACGTTTCAAGCACAATTTATTGCTCATAATCATTTCAAGTCATATGAGCATATGGTATGATTATGAGCAATAATTTGTGCTGGGAACGTCATTAGTAAATATCATTGTATAACAATGTGTGATTTATCAAAATAAAATCTTATCCATAATGGAGTAATATTGGTGCTATCAATCAAATACTGTAAGTTGGAAATAAGATGTCTTTATAGTATAATAAATAAATAAACATATCTCTGGTATTTGCGTTGAGTCATTTCTGTTGCATGTATTGGGTCTGTAGACTCGATGAACCAGGATTCAAAAGGGTGGAACAGAGTCAAAATTCTAAAAAGTGATATAGGTAGGCTGGGAGAGATGTTGATTACTGAATCCTACACGCGTTCCAATGATAATCTTTTCGGCACCTTATTATTTTCCTTCACGTTCCCCAGTGGAACATAGGGCTTCAGGCTAGTAGCTTGAAGTTTCTGTAGCAGTGTTTATTTTACAGGATGGGGTTGTTAGCCTCATGCCCAACCTTTCCTCTTCACCAGCATTATTTCTGGCTTAGCGAGGTAAAGGAGTGCGTCTGTGGCCGGGGATCGAACCCCGGACCATATGCATGGTCGGCGAGCGTCCTAACCGCTATACCACCGGCACCTTATTACTTTAATATTATTATCCCTCTGGATTCCGTCTGGAACATAGGAGTCCAACAGCACATTTCAATTGCACTGTGTTGTATGTAGTCTTTTTTACCTGGCTCCACGATTCCTCGTAAGGTGACATTTCAACCTCGCACAACTGCCTCCATGTCACTGACTCACTCAGAACTCGTGGCTTCCCTTTACAGTTACCTTGGGAGGCCCACGGTTTATAATGTCACTCAGCGATCTCTTCAAAGAATGTTCGTCTCACTTCCATTTTCTTCTGTGTAATTATCGGTTGGACAACAGGTTGTTGGTCTGTTCGCTGCCTACCAGAGTTGTTTGTTTCTAATCCTTTTTGGCAATGTGACATTCACTGCGGAGCGAAGGCACAGTGTTCAGAGATTATATTAGCCAATAAATACCCCCTCTGTTCTTCCTACGTACATGCGTACTTAAATCACTTGTGTGTACCACATGTAATTCAAGATATTATTTTGATTGGACACTAGTAACTAGTGTGATATGTCTAGTCCTTTCCATTACAGTCCTACAGGAGGTCAATCGCGAACCCGAATAGCTTAGTGGTAACGTCTCTGACTGAAGGCTGTACTGGGTGACGCGGGTTCGAGCCTCAAAAGGGACATGAGTTCCTTCAATGCAGTTGCATATACACCTTGCTGACGAGTGCCAACTAGCACGAAACCTAAGTCCAAGGCTTCCTGTAGCCGATTGCCTCCAACGATCTAATTCAAGATATTATATACTATGAAGTTTGATGAGTAGTTGGAAACTCCGATTCGAGTCAGCCTGTAAGCAGTGCTTGTAAGCCAGCCAGATCAAAGTGACCCAAAACACTGTAAAGGCCATTTCACCCTTTTTTGGGATGGGAGCGGATCTCATCAGTAGTGTAACCGAATCGACTCAGTTCACAGAGCTGAATTAAGTCGAAACCACTCAAATTCTGGTTGGCTACTTGTGCAAACGTAGAACTGTGAGTTTGATTCGTTTTTTTAAACATTAACCGATTGTTCATAATCTCTTGATATCTTATCAATGTTCTTTTAAAACAAACAAATCTTACTTTATTAACTTCCTATATATTTATATAGGCATTTACGGCGTCTACTATTATTACACGGTCATTGGTCATATTATCGTATTACAATAACAATGTTATTCTTTTATCATAAATGTGTTGCATTTGTCGCAAATCAAATGTGTTTAACCTATTTCACGGGATTCTCAGAAATACCATCCTTTGGAACTATCCTATTTGTATGTTATAATTTAACAATGACATTTCTAGTCAGTATGGGTTATGGAATGTGGGAACAGCATATTAAAGCGAAAATTTTGCTAGATAAACCACATTTATACAGAGCTGTAAGTGATCAGTATTTTTTTCTTGTGTGTGTTTGTTTGTGCATCATTTCCATTATATATTTCCTCTTTTGTTGATTTTTGTGAATTTAAATTTCGCGGGAAATTTTACGCATGTTCAATTTTCAATGTTTAATGTACAGTGCGATGGTGATATTTTAGGTGTTGTTACATATTTACTAAGCTTTGGAATGGTTTTAAGTGGGAAACTTTAACTGTCTTTCTAGGCAATATTTTTTTAGCATTAATTTCAATATAAAATGAGGTTCGGCGATTCTCCATGAAGTTCAACATGACTGGTTGGCTCTGGAGTCTTTCTTATCCTCGTGTTCATTTCCATTCATATTGATCCTTTTATATGCTTAATAGTGGTTCTTTGTAGACTGATAATTCTGATCTATATCAGTATGTCTGTCGATTGTAGATTCATCTGAGTACTGGGCCACTAGGTGTTCTCCGACATTCCTCCACACAGTTACTCACGTGAATTGTTGTCCTCAGTTGTCTGCCTGCATTGATGTGAAGGAGTGGTTAACATATCTTTTGCCTGTTAGTTTATTCTCGTAGTTTTGAGGAAGAAGAAGATGAGGACATCCACTTGGACAAATTTAGTGTTGCACACAGTTGATACAGTTAATCCTACGGAGAATTCCGATTTTTTTTTCTGTTTTTTGATGTTAATTCTTCCGGTTATGACTTCATTAGCTTGTCAATGTCCAAGTCTAACTACACTGGACTTAACACTTTCCTTAGAAGACTTTCAGCAACAATGTGCAATAACCAACGCAAAAAAACAGAACACAGATTGGTGACTCGAGAATCCTTTATTATTGCACCAATATGGAACCAACCATAAGGTTATTATACACAAAGTCTAAGAATAAATGTCATAACAATTAATCACAATAATACTTCTGATAGTATTTCTCCGTCTTCTAACGAACAGCGTGCGATGGAATGATGACTGCAGTATCGGTGACTCCCGCCAAAATATGGAGTTAGTTTTGAGTAAACAACCATGAATTAATCGTTCATTCTTCAACTATATTGACACTCCCCGGCATAAAAGAGATCCATCCCTTTTTCCATCACGACCAATACACGTTGACCTGGATGCCAGTGCGAGAACCTGGGCCACAAGGACAAAGCTGAAATGGAAAACAAACAACAAAGCCAACGCACCACAGGCATACCCACAGCACAATCTCACTCGTCGACGACGACCTATGCCTTCCAGTTAAAGGCATCAGAAATTATTCTGGAACTTTCCTATCCATTTGATATAAAAACACGAATGTACAGCCTAGATGATGACTTTGTCGAAAAGAAAAGTTTCTTCGCTGCAATTGTCTTTTTATTAACTCCTATAAAGGCATCCTCTTGACATCTTGCAACACAATCGTCATTTGCGAGAATGACTCTTGCAGAAAGCAACATGACAATAGCAGCACCTCATGATACTCTTCGCATATCCTCTTATCTTTTCAGTACCAATTACCACTGCTATCACTTGTCACTCATTCTGCCTCAGTTCTAGTAACGGTGACGTATGCAAGCCTCAGTCGTCTACACTCTCGCTCCCCGGCGTGTGGGACCACAGCCTAAATAGAAACATTCATTCTCAATCATTGATTCCACAGCTAATCCTTGTCTATGTGTGCATGTCATTCTCAGCACTAGCCTCCCCGGCGTATACGACCCATCTGCTGTCTTTAACATTAATCAATTCATTCACAGATGTAGAAGACTCGAAACAACTTCAGAAGTAACCACGACGAAAATTTTAACAAAATTATACAATACAACAAAGTACGAAAACAACAAGTAAACACAGTGAATCCAAAAACACCAATTGATACGAAACACCATGCATATATACAAACAGTACACATAACCTCGCAGACCATGTCTTGATGTAATTCCTTTGGAGAATTGTAGGACTTACAGCAGTACGCCTACAATACTTCTCAGGTTGATGTACTAAGTTAGAAAATCATCGCTGAGTTCATTTGCTGATCTCCTTCTATCATCTATATCCCCAACTCTGAATGGTGACACGCCCATGACATTGTATCGTGGAATGTAGATGACTAACAAACATACGACGTATCTGACCAACCAAGCGAAGGCACAGAGTAATTTGCACCAAAGATAATAACATTCAAATAGCAACTTGAAACCTGAAAGGCCTTTATTCTAAAAGTTCATGGACGTCCCTTTCATTGTAGATGACAACACCAACGACGACTGACTGACACCAGTTGATGAACTTAGCGGTGCATCAGAAGCTGTTGTTCTTCGACCTTTAGAACATTGTCTAACCGCAGGATTACCACCACTGCTATCTTTTTTATGATTAGCTCCAGTTTAGCATTAATATCTGTCGATAGGTGGTTTGATTACCGGTAGAACTATTTTATCTACCTGCTGAATATGTTGATTACAGATAGAATGGAAGTTTCTCAGTTGAACCACCCAGTTCAAAGTATACAGTCGCGCAAAAAACATCTATCTGAGCTACAAACTGACCGCATTATTCCGAAGTCCATCTTTGTTGAGTAACTAGTTTTCGACGACTTGAAGTGTCGTATTCTGTGACATCAAAGAATCACACCATAATTTCACTATCACCTAGTTGAATGTCTTTAATTTTCTTAGGAGTTGATTATAAGATTATGTTGAGTTTACCTGTATAATTCCTTGAATTAATTCTATGCCAGTATTCTCGTCAATGAATATGTGGCGTTGAAGTTGCCATTTAGAAAGACAATGAAATGTTTTTTCAATTGAATCAACCAGCCCAGAGTACGTTACATCCTGAAGATAATTAATCTGAGCGCTATTTATCATACTGACTTGTGAAATAAAGCATTCACATCATTTAAAAGTAAAATTATGCTCAAAAACTTAAACACCTATTTAATGTTATTGTTTGGCTACAGGATTTCATCATGAGCTGACATTGGTTAGAGAACCATTGGAAAACCTGCAGGGAGTACTGCTAGACAGCTCTTTCGTCCTAGTTAGGGACTCTTCACAGTACGCACCCACCACCATAGTCCTAACCCAGAACCTTCTGGTTACAAGACCAACTAGCTTGTAGACCATTCAGCCACTGGGACCCGAATCCAACGGCCAGTCCATAAATTCTAACTTCTGCCAATTCACGATATAGCGCAACCACTAGCCAATGTCTTCGACGAGTATTTGTCCTCACACCCGATCTGCTGCACCCTACTGGTCACGACTTCCCACTAGAACCCCAGGTAACTACCAACCTGAATAGGGCCAGTCACCAGTGAGCATCTCATTGATATTCAAGTATTGGTTTGTAGGGATTTGGTTTGAACCCCGAACGAAACAGTTGTCTAGTACTTCCTTGTTGGTTTTCCAATGGTTCTGTAGCCAATGTCAGCTGATGATGAAGTCCTGTAATCAATCAACAATTCCCTACAAACCATTACTTGAATGTTATTGTTTATTAAAATCACTTTTAATGCGTGACGACGTTATGTACTATTGATTGACTCAGATGAGTTGTTGAATGCCATTAACATCAGCCGCTGCTGCTTGACAGCCAGACAGACAGAAGTGATCTAAACACTTTGACTGACCTTAGTATCGTTTAGGGTCGGGCTCATCAGCAGTGTACCCTGTTCGACTCAGCTGAAAAGGCTATAAATCACTTCATTCCCAAAGGAATCTCAGATGAAATTTCCCCTCCATATGCGTAAATTGCGAATTGTGAATTTGATTTATTGCTCATTCAGAATTCAACCGATAAGAACTAATACCTATTTCACAAAAGGTAGCTTTTGTAGCCTAATTGTCTAGTGAACACTACCACTACGTGTTCCTGCTTATAGTCTCAGTGGGTACACAGTGCAGGTATATGAAACTGACAACCCTTTAGATAGGATGAATACCTGTTGTGGATTCCATTCCTTTTCTCCATTAGCCAAGGCGTCATCAAAGAGTCCATACAAGTACCTGACATATCAACTCAGACCGAGCATTTCAATTCAACAAAGTCAGTCAGCAGAAATTTCTACCTAACTTCAACCAATACAAGCTAAAACCCTTCTTAGTGGCCTAGTAAATGACGCCTTGGAGTTTGGTACGGTGTGTACTAGGTTCGAGCCTCAATGCGAATACAAACACTCACTGGGAATATAGGTACGTCGAGAAGATGAGTCCCAAACAGGACGAAATGCGCATCCTGGATTCCATTGCTAGCCTCCGACAACCAAATAGCCACATATTTCACATGTATTTATTACACTTTTATTCATTATTACTTTTTAAATCAATATCCCTGGATCAATAATCAACAATTATTATTTCAGTGTAGTAGAACTCGACAAACTTAACATAACGATTGTAGGCAGGAATCACATAGATCTGTGCTTATTGCTCAAGGCATATATCTGTCTGGATGTATAAGTGTGTTGACGAAAGCACTCCAGACATGCAATAATTAATTAATGCCTTGAAAAACATTACTTTTATAATAAATATTCTAATCTCTATTATAGAATATTCAACAGTTGTGACACATTACTGTTATTACTATTATTAGTGTAATTTTTCACTCCTCATCGCCACGTAACATTATCGCCTACCTTTCACCTTCGGACACCCAACTTGTTGCTCCTAATCGAGGACAGTGGGTGTGGTGTCACTTAACAGGCTGTTAAGCGTATATCCGGTCCAACTGCCTATCGTTCTGCATATTTCTTGGTTGGACAATAGGCTGTCGTCTGGTTTGATGCTTGCTGTCTGATGGTGATGAAAGACTGAAGTAGGCTGTTAGAAATGCTTTCGGTAAGACGACGCCAAGTCACTGAACTGTATACAGAAGCAGTGGCTTGATATTACTGTCAAACCTTAAGATCATGTTCCCTGTGCTAATAGCTACTAGGGATCTCCACAGACATGGCTATGTGTGATTAAGCCATCTAAATTATTTGGTGTCTGACTTTTTAGCAACAAATCAGGAAATC